AGAGAGACTAACCTCTTACATTACGCAGTGAGAGTCACGGGTTAAGGAACGAGCCCTTTATTCAAAAACAGGTCAGGACTGATCAGAACATCTAAACATGAGATCCTGTCCAACATCAGCTCTTTGTTTTTTAAATTTACCTCCAGAGTAAACGATGCCGTGCTGCAGAGGTCCAGTGTATGTGCCGATCTTCAGCCGTCCTGTGCTCTGAAAGAAAGCCAACAACACGTCACATAAGCAGCATTTACTGACTTTTGTGCAAATGAAACTTCTTGCTCTTGCTCAGTGTTAGTGGGCAGCCAGTGTGCAGCGTCTGTGGGTTAAGATCAATATCACAGGTTCTTCCTCTGACATGAGAAAGCAAAGCTCACAGTCGTGTGGTGAAGATCGAGCGCGTGACAACACAGGACATTATTTTTGAAACAGTACTCGTCATCATAGTCTTATCAAAGACACGGCAACAACGCAGCTGGCTGCACTCGAGTACACTCACGGTGTCGACTTGTCGGAGCACCGTTCCTTCTCCGAAGAAGACGGGCTTACGGGCGTCTACCAGGATCAGGTCGAAGTAGGACTGCCAGGGCTGGTGGGGCGTGCCCGGCTGCAAGGCCCACACACACAATAACACATCAGTCTGAGTGTGTAGTTCAAGTCAAATCTGCACACAAGCTTTAATCGTTACCTTCGGACCGTGAGGAAGGTCAAACAGGTAGGTCATAATTTTCTGTAAGACAAGAGTTTTTATAACAATCATTTTTAGTCCAATTTAAAATGAATCATGTTGGAAATTTTCCATTTTCACACCACAATGACTTCCCTCTCCCCCTCCTCCTTCCCTCCCTCCCTCCCTCCCTCCTTCCTCCCTCCCTCCCTCATCTCCATGGCAGCGAGCTCAGAGCTGATGGAGCTGAAAATGTAGCAGTAAGTTTTCAGCATCAGTCTAAGGTTGTAATTACAGAGACGCTCATGTTTGTTTACGATGAGCATCCAGGTCGAAACTGCCTCCAGGCGTCCTCACAGTGTTACTGCAGACAAAGCTAATGCAGTAAGTATCTGTTAGACATCCTGTTTCTAAGCTTTGACCTCAGTTTGATGTGAATTTAGAAGCAGAACATTAGAAGTTGTGTCTTTAACAGATTCTTGTGGTTTAACTCGTTGGTGTTTGTCATCCAGCTTCAGTTTCTCTGCAGTAAAGATTTTTCTACTAATCTTTGAGATTAAAAGGTTGGAGATAACCTGACCCAGAGTTACACTGTAAAGAAAAATATTTAATAAACGATGCACTAATTCGATGATGTTGTTCATGC